CTTTAAAATACTTAAAACATTTTTTCATCAATAATTTAATTATACATCAATTATACATCAATAATTTAATTCATTCATTAAAAAAAATTTATTGATTGTCTTTATGTCAAGACACTGTCGACACTAAATAAACTAAATCAGACACTGCCCTGCCTTCTGATTGATTTACACCCTAGTGAAGGAGCATAGAGTAATTATATAAGCACAAATAAAATTTAAAGTTGCAACCATCACAAGATCTATGGAGAAGTACATGGAGAGATGAGCCTAAAGACACTTGAATTCAGAGAGGGCTTCCATGAAGTAGTAATACCTGACCTAAGATCTGAAGGATGAGCACCCTCTGGGGGATGGACATGCTTGAAGCTCTGACTGGGGTGGGGCAATACATAACCTAGGCTGGGCGCGGTGGCTCACACCAGTAATCCTAGCACTCTGGGAGCCCGAGGCAGATGGATCGTTTGAGCTCAGGAGTTCGAGACCAGCCTGAGCAAGAGCGAGATCCTGTCTCTACCAAAAACAAAAAGAAGTTAATTGGACAGCTAAAAATATATAGAAAAAATTAGCCGGGCATGGTGGCGCATGCCTGTAGTCCCAGCTACTCGGGAGGCTGAGGCAGAAGGATTGCTTGAGCCCAGGAGTTTGAGGTTGCTGTGAGCTAGGCTGATGCCATGGCACTCTAGCCAGGGCAACAGAGTGAAACTCTCTAAAAAAAAAAAAAAAAATACATATATACACATAACCTAAACATTTGCACGTCCATAATATGCTTAAATTTCAAAAAATAAAGAAAGAAAGAACAGATTAGAAGTATATAAGAGTGTTTATAGGGAGATCCTTAGGAGGATATTATAGCAATTCAGGCAAGACATATGCAGCATGGAACAGAGTAGTTGGTGGTACTAGAAATAGAAGTAGATGGATGCAGTAACACCATGCAGCAAAGCATTGACTGGAGAACAACGGGCAAACATATAAATCTATTTTCTTTGTTAAACTATTTTCTACTTCTTGTTGTCCCTCGACTCTCCTTAGTTTCTTTTGCACCACCAGACTTCTTGATCTGCATCAGTAACAATGAGGATATAAAAGCCATCACAAAGAATTCCTCAAATTTGGAAAAAGTTACCAAAAGGGTTTTAACCCTTTGCACTCGCTTGCTTTTTTCTCAACATCCACTCGACATTATCCACACTCGACATCTGAGTGCAAAGGGTTAAGGAAGTCTAGACAGAATTTCTAGGGTATGAATTGGTTCAGCTCAGCCTGGCAAGTCTTTTAAATACCAGGCATGTAAAACAGAGTCAAAAACTTTAAAAAGAACAATGGAATGTGTCTAAGACAGGGAATCAGAAAACACAGAACTTGTGTATTACTTTTTGATCATTTTCTTATACATAAAATGAGGACTCCGTACCTACACATCCTACCTCTTGGGGTTTGGTTGTTGTGAGAAGCAAATGCCATCGAGATGACGCAAACTGAGGTGCAGAGTGGCTCATGTTAACAGGGCTCCCTGGTACTTGGAGCTTCTGTAATTGCTTGCTCAAACTATTTAAGGAGACATTCATCAAAGTATTATATTTGCACATAAATTAAAGAATTGTGTGTTCAAAATCCTGTTCCTTTTTTTTCTTGTTTTTATTGCTACCTAATATAACAGTAAGTGAAAGTTATTTGCCTAGTAGAAAGGCCTAAACAAACACAAGTTATATAAACTTATTATTCAGTGTACAGTTTAATTGGAGAGTTGAGAGAGTCTGGTAGTTGTTTTTACTGATGTAAAACAGGGAGACTACTCAACCCTCTGGTTGAAAATGATCTTTCTCATGGCTATTGAACCTTAGCTTTTCCCTTAGTCATCTAACAAGCTAAAAATAGTAAGAGGTAACACATCTTAAATGCTAGGTACTGTTCTAAGTAACGTGTGTGTATATATACATATTCATGTATACACACAGATGTGTACATATACCCCTCACCACAATCCTACTGGAGGGTACTATTATCTCCATCTATATTTTACAGATGAGGAAACTGAGGCACTGAAAAGGCTAAGAAATGTTACCAAGAGTCCCAAAGCTTGTTTGAGCCAGTATTCAAACTCAGGCTCTCTGACTCCAGACTTGATGCTCTTTAGCTCCACTATGCTACCCCTTCTTAATGCACTAAATGTTGAACAATGTCCTATTCTTTGCTCCTAACAAAACTATTCCAATTCTAGTTATTGCATTGCTTTCTCCAGAAGAATGTTCACTGATGGCATTCTGACTAATTTACTCCCAGAATTACCACTCACTTGGCCCACAGTTACTAAAAGTCAGGCTAGAAAGATAATCCCAGATGGGTGGGAGAATTGGAAAATTTCACAACAAACTGTGCAGTCAGCTAGAGCCTTGCCCAAAAGGAGCAGGATGCTGCCACATAGTTGCTCTTTCAAGCTGATGAATTCCAGGGCAACCAAAGTGCAAAGATGAGGAATAAACATTCTGGCCTTCTTTTTCTAGTGCCCAGTGTCTTGTTGGGTGATTATAGAGAATGCAGTACTTGAATCGAATCTTGGAAGTTGAGTAGATGCGCATTGAACTAACAAAAGGGAAGTGATTACGAGACCAAAGGAACAGAAAAATAGTAAAGAGAAAGCAGAAAACTGCAAGGGCCAGGAGAGTGGAGACCAAGCATGCAAGGAGGCTAGCATGAGCCAGAGTATGGAGGGCTTTTTTGCACTTAGGAATTTTATTCCTTGTAGATCCAGTGAGCCACCAAAGGCCCTTCAGCAGATGGGTAATAATAAGTTTGGAATACCAGAGAAGGTTTCAAGTGCAGGGCAACAAATAGTTTCAGCTCTGGAGTTTCTGAATTTAAGATATCTGCGGCACATTGAACGGAGGTGTTCTGTGGGCAAATAGGAACAAATTCTATAGTTTAGAAGGGATATGTGGACTGGAAACAGACTTGGGAGACAACACCACTTAGCTAGTAGCCAAAGTCATGAGCATACATGAGATTTCCCAGAAGAATATATAGAAGGAGATGAAAAGAGGGTGCCTAGAGATTGGAACCCCAGTCAACATAGTCTACATCTGAGGATAGAGGACAGATGAAAAATGAGCCTGAGGAAAGGCAACAGAACAGGAGAATCACATGAGCAGGGCATTGGAGAAGCCAAGGGAGGAGAAAACATTGTTTCAAAGGGCGTGGGCAAAAATATCACATCTCAGAGGGGTCAGATGAGGTGAGGGCTGAAAAGCCCTTCCCATTTCAAGAGTGGCAGGGCCAGCTCCTAACTTCAGGTGGCAAAAAAGTGAACATGAGGTTAGGAAATAAAAGAGCAGACAGAAGAGTCTTCTGAGGAAGTAGAGACAGAAGTAGTAACCTGGTGATGATTCCGCACTCTGTTTCTCAGTTTTTCTCCAAGATATTGGGAAGCTGCCCTAAATGACGCAGCCCTTGTTTCTCTGACAGCCTGTTAGAACAGATTGGAGGCACAGACACCATCCACACCCCAGGTGTTGAACTTTCATTTTGGAATCCGGCCATCAATTTTTTAGATTATTTTCCAAATCCCTAAATTGAGCAAAATGATAGGTTGGGCCCCCTTTTGGGACTCATTTATATAATATATAATGAGAACATACGAACGTCCCAAAATGCAGGCCTTATGTGTATAGGGGACACAGAGCCACTAATTGAACTGAATCTTTTCCATTATCACAAAATCCATGTGATTTCAGAAGTTGAAGGGAATTTTCATTTATTATTTTTATTTTTCTGTTGAGTTTCTCAGAAAATTTATTTCATAATAATCTTGCAGTCTCAGGGGCAATTATTTGAGACAAGACTGTTCAAAAGAACTGAACTCTGTAAAGATGTCCCCACTTGCCTTTCACTCTGTTTAAAATTCCCTGGTTTGTTATTGTGGACCCCTCATCTTACTTGTTGTATGATTTCAGACACGTCACTTAACTTCTTAGGACCTTAGTGGCCTCATCTGTCTAAGAAGGGAACTGGAAAAGATGCTTAATAAAACCATATTATTTAAGCTACACCAGGAGTTAACACACTTATTCTATAAAAAGGCAGATGATGAACACTTTTAGCTTTGCAAGCCATATGGTCTCTACTGCAACCACTCAGCTCTGCCTCATAACACTGAAGCAGCAACAGACAATATGTAAACAAATGATTGTGACTGAGTTCCAATAAAACTTTATTTACTAAAGCAGACAGTAGGCCGATTTGGTCTGTGGGCTGTAGTTTGCCAACTCCTGCCCTAAACTTTAAACCTAAGTTCTTCAATTTACAAAGCTGGATCCCTCAGAATCACCTACCTATTAAAATATTCATATCCTAGGAAAGACCAATCAATCAGCTACTTCTAGAGTTTATGTGGTGGGTGGGAGCACAAATTTAACTCACATACTGTAAAGAACAAAGAAAAGTTTAGAACAGACATGGTAACTCCCACCTGTAATCCTAGCACTTTTGGAGGCCAAGGTGGGAGAGGAGTGCTTGAGGCTAGGAGTTCAAGGCTATACTGGGAAACAGCGAGACCTCATCTCTTCAAAAACTTTTTTTAATTAGCCTGGTGAGGTGGTGTGTTCCTGTAATCTCAACTACTCAGGAGGCTGAGGCAGGAAGATCGCTTGAGCTCAGGAGTTTGAGGTTGCTGTGAGCTATGATCACACCACTGCACTGCAGCCTAGGCAATAGAGCAAGATTCTGTCTCAAAAAAAAAGGAGAAAAAGAAAAGAGAAAAACAAGAAAATAAAAAAGAGAAAAGAAAAGAAAAAAGAAAAGTAAGGTTTAGTATTTCCTAAGTAGACAATCTGGTTTCTCAAAAGGTAGATGTGAAAAAATTTTCTAAAACTCTAGTTAAACTTAAAAATTCGGTTTGATCCAATAATGTAAACAGCCTATTTAAGAAATCTTTAACATCTTTTTGTTAAAAATTTCTAATCTCTTTGAAAGCCTTCCCAGCCCAGTGTGGTGGCTCATACCTGTAATCGTAGCACTCTGGGAGGCCAAGGCGGGAGGATCACTTGAGGCCAGGAGCTCGAGACCAGACCATCTCTACAAAAAATAGAAAACTTAGCTGGACGTGATAGTGTGCATGAGGATGAAGATCTATTCCAAGATATAGAAAAAGAAGCACATATTTCAAAAATACATCATTGCCAATTATTTGGCAATTCTTTCTAAATGAATTCAATAGGTTTTTTTTTTTTTTTCCATGCAGATAGTTGAATACAAGGAAGCTGTTGAAATAACTAAGCTCAGGATAGGTTTGTATTAATGCATAGAGGAAGAAGAGCATGCAGAGGCAGGTGGGTGGTATGCCAAGGGAGGTGTGCGGGGGGTCCAGAGGAAGAGGAGGAAAGCTGGAGAAATGCATTTCACAATGTGTCAAGGACCCAAGTAGCCAAATATTGCAGTGGGAGAAAAGGAGCTGAAGCCTGAATCAGTCTGCAATCGAGTGAAGGGTTTTGGGAAGAGGATTGAAGTAGTGAGCTAGAGCAATGATTTGCATTATCTGAGGACTGGAACTTAGAGTCAGGTGTTTTGGTTAATGTTGCCAGAGGACACAGAACCTTGCTCAGAAATGGGTCAGATTTATTTAGTTGACTGTCCATGAGTGATTCTTTGGAAAATGGGACTAGGCTCAAAATCCAGGAGATGATGCTGCTGAGAGGTCAAATAGAATGCTCCAGGGAGAATTAAAAAGAACACCTCAAGGGAAACATACTTTAAAATATTTAGCAACTAGACAGAAAGTTTGTATTTGATTAAGAGATGGATAATTGCTTATGATCAGAAATTTAGACCTACAATTTAAATTCCATCTTGCTACCTACAAAGCCATGGAAAATCCATATGTAATTTACTCTTGACTTTGAAGTGTATTATATCATTTTAGAGGTGTATTGTTTTCTTAATTGTATCATCCCATGGCTTACATCAACATTTCTTGAGCACGCACTAAGAGATGAAAGAAGTAGTTAGTAAAACAAACCAACCTAACATTAAAAGGCTTCTCAGAGAGTGGAATGTGTACCTCATTTATTTTGACTATGCATAAGATTCACAAAACAATCCCAGGCACTTATGGATACAGAATAAAGATTACACTGATTCCTATCCTCAGTGAGATTAAGGTCTAATGGGAGGGAAATAAAATACATAAAATCAATGTAAATACATACAGATGTTGTACAGCAATTACACAAGGAAGACAGTTGTAGGGAATCAAGAATTAGGCTGATTAGTTGGGGAAAGGTTAGGTACACCTCAAAAAGATGTGTAAAGAAAATGAGGATGTAGTATTTAAAGTCGTCATCAATTTACTTTTAGAGGAAATTTTAGTTTCATAGCACTCCTTAATTCTGAACCTGTAGCATGCAATCTTCAGCATCTAAGAAACTTCTAAGACTGACAATCTAGTACACAAAATAACTACAAGGTTTAAAGACGTGTTACCAACCCTTGTGAACTGCTATTTTTCTAATAAAAAAAAATCTCAATTCCATATCACAGAGGTTGCTATAGTATCATAGCAGATATATGCACAAAGACATATAACAAACTTGTCAGGTATCCACGTTATGGTGTGGATGGTACAAGACTTCCCTCTACGGTGCATAAACATTTCCTGTTGCCCTGCCTCCCTTCACCATTGCGTGTGTGCGTGCCAGTGAGAATGTACGTGTGCCCTGGGACGGCTGCAGAAAACAAGTTCTGTGACCTCTCTGAAGTCTGACACAAACAGCTTTCTGACTGTCTTCTGCCTTGGATCTTCTCAACTTCTGCTTCTCCAGGCTAGAGGAATCAGGAGCAGGAGGGTCTATCTGTGAGGAAGGACCAAGACACAAGTTCCAAGAAAGGGAGGCATTCAGAAGAGGGATAAATGAGAACTCATACCCCTTGTCTAAAGGGGAGCCAGCAGACACATCCCATTAGAGAAAAAAGGAGCCAAAAATAAAAAAGCATTAATATGGAAGAGTCTAGAAAAAGCCTGGAAGGGCTCTGGAATTCTACAGGCTGCTGCAGGCATTTGCCTTGCCAAAAACCCACCCAGTAGTTCTTTAAAAGAAAAAAAAAAAGCCCATAGGGATCAAAAACACTGACTAATAATTTTTGAATCCATCTCCACAGTATTATTCATCTCTGCCAAGGTCAGGTTTGGTCACAGCATGGCTGGAGGTCTGGGCATTCTGTTCCCAGTTTTATTTTTACAGTAGTTACGGAGCCCCTTATATTTTCAAGGGCCCCCCTGTCACTTATTACCCACCGTCCGGACCACCCACCCACGCTCCCACACACAATACACCCAGACACACCCGCGAATACTCGGATTCCTTCACCCTCCTGGTGACTCGGGCCACAGGAATACCGTCTGCTCCAAACGACTTTGTTTTACATACTTGGAATTTCCCAAAATAAATCTGCTTCCCTCTCTGGGGACCAAACTGTGAGTCCTACGACTAGGCAAACATTTGCAGAGCACCTACTGTGTGTAAGGCACGGATGGATGCAGGGGCTAAAGGAAACCCACCAGGAGGCAGGGAAGTCCAAGAGGTCCCCTCCGCTGAGGAGGAGCCTTTGCTTTCTTGTAACCAGATGGGTGTGCGTGCGTGCATGCGTGCGTGCGTGCGTGCGTGTATGCGTGCGTGCGTGTATGCGTGCGTGCGTGCGTGCGTGTATGCGTGCGTGCGTGTATGCGTGCGTCCGTGCGCGCGTGCGAGCGAGTGAGCGAGAGAGTGTGCATTCATGGCGGGGTGTTTTTGAGGATGTATATCTGAGTTAAGAGACCCTTTCTTGATTTTTTTTCCCCCTCACATTTCCTTTTCCCACTTTCCTTTCTCTCCCTGTCTGTTCACTTTTTGTCTCCAGCTCTTCAGCGTCTGTGTGCGTGTGTCTCCTCCCCATCCTTCCCCCTTCCCTTTTTCCTTCTGAGACAAAGCCACCCGGACGATCCGTCTGGCCGCGGGGGCTGTCGCTGTGCTCTTCCTTAAAAGCTCTTCATGAAAGTAGCCCCCGTGGTCATACACATTCTGGAGACATAAAAAAAAAAAGGTTGGGAAAATGCTTGTCCTTAGTCAGAAAAACTAGCTCTGAGGAAACTTCGTCCCTCCACGCTCCGCACGTCGGTGCGTGCCCGTCAGAAAGGCCAGGAGGGAGGGAGGGAGCTACCCGAGCCACCCCGGCCGGGCCCTTAGCATAATTTATGAGGTGTCGGGATATTCTGACCACAAGGTCGGAACAGAATAGTTTTTACACTTCAGCTGTCACGAAAGAGAAACAATTTAATTCTGTTTCACTCCGGCACTGTCTGTTTTCACAATGAACAGGGGATTTGGGTCGCCTTGAGATTATTTGTCTAAGCACAGACCAAGACTGCTGCTGAGACGTGAGATGTCTGATTTTCGACGCTGGCTTTCTTCTCCCTCCTTTCCAGACAGCGTGGGGGGAGGCCCTGGCTTTCCCGGGGTACCAACGTGGGACCAGAATCCACTCGCCCCAGGCGGTTGCTGCGTGCTGGTGAGTACGCCGGACTTGCAGCGTCACTCCACACTCCTCTAACTGCTAGTGGTGGTTTGCAAGGGGTGGTTTGGGTAAGTCAGGGCTAGGAGAGAGCCCTCTCCCGAGTCCAGCAGGCCCCGTCGTCACTGCCAAGCAGTGGTCTTGAGTCTGAAGCAGTGTTTCCCTTGGCCGGGAAGCCCAGCCTCCTGGCTCCTCTCGAAGCTACAGAACTATAGACATTCCGCTGAGTGGCCTGAAGCGTTGCCTGCCAGGAAAACCCAACGTCTCCTCGGAGAAATATCAGAGCAGGAGTGCAATACTCCTTCACCCAGCAGCCAAGCAGACAAACTCAAGGCGAGTCTGCTTTCTCAGGACCCCACCGACTCTCCACTTGGAGCAAGACGGGGAAGGTCACTGAGAATCAGAATCTGACAGATCATTTCGTTATAACACACTCACCCAGGAAGCTCGCATGACAGAGAGGAGCTCCAGGGTGCTTGGGCCTAGAAGCAGCAGACCTTCCTGGGAAAATTCATGCAACCTTCTTTATTAAACTCATCTGCTGGGATTTGGCCACAGGGCAAGCACTAGAAACGCAGATAAAATAGAATATATTTTATCAATTCTTTCAGAATTTAAAGCTAATTAAAAGCAATGAAATAAATATCTACATATGGAGAGATAATAATAATCTTCAAGAAACATTAAGTGAAAAAAGCAAGCATATAACACAGAATAATCTGCTGCTGTGTGCATAAAAAGAGGCAGTTAGGTAGTAATATACACTTAAGTAAACATGATATAGGAAAACAAAAGCTTGTTTGAGGGGTTGTTTTTAGAAAAGAGAACTAGATGGCTGAGGGTCAGAATTCAAATGATTTTCTTACTACATGTGTTTTTTTTTTATTGTTGTAGTTATTTTTTAAAATTTTTTAACCAAGAACTCATACTACCTTTACAGAACATTTTTTCATTTAAAGAATAAAGTAAAATCCAAGAGAATAGTAAGGAGAAAAGAAAAGCAAGATGGAAAGCAAATGATTCAAGCTTAGAATGTAGCTTACTGCTAAGGCAGCCAATTCTCAAAACAACCACTCTCCTGACTTAAAGCAATGAATTCTTGGTGGGAATGGTATAGGAGCTATTTGTTAAATGACCTCTTCAAGTTCCCTTAATAGTAGTACTTAAGTGCTTATGGAAGAATTCCTTGCTTTCATGTGGGTGAGAAGATTACCCCCCAAAAAAGGATTTCAGTCCATGGGACGGAGGGTCCTGCAATTTAACATGCAATAAGCCTCAGTTTCAAACCAAGTGCTGAGTCAAACTGCTTTGCTCTCCTCTTTGCCCTAGTCAAAGTTTCTTGTCTATGCTCCTTGTCCCATTTATCATTATCCTTCCCATTTTCAGAAAATGTTATTGATCCAAGCCAGGTAGGTGTATAGAGAAGGGCATTAGATCCTACGTCAAACAACTAGCTATCTCTGCATTGATGTGGTTAATCATTTCATCTCTCTAAGCCTCAG